TATATATATATGTATATATTCCCCTGTCACGGTCCCTCTAGTCACGCCCCCTCTCCCCTTAAGCAGCAGCAAGATTATTTTTGCAAAAAAAATGGAGTTTGGGGTAGAACTTGGTTCAAGATTCCCTGCGCCCAATTGGTAAGGTCGATCTATGGTCCGCTGGGTTTGCTCGCAACGACTACACTCGTGCTTCATAAAAATATTCTACCTGGCATGAGTGAAAGCGACTCGCCGACAGCTCCGGATGGAGGTGATCAAGCTTAATTACCGCTATGGATGCCTGAATGGGGAGCCCCATAATCTTTTCGTAGCCTCCGCTTATCCCTGGGTCCCTATTGGCCCCCATTTTGAGAAAGCGTTTGCCGTAATCCCCATTAGAGTCTTCCTTGTTCCTCGCCTACTCCACCTGAAGCATCAGTAAGTCTCCTTAAGCCCTACGCCCTACACCGCAAGCCCCAACCCCTAAACCCTAAGCGCTAAACACTGAGACTCTAATCTCCCTAGAGATACAAACCTATAATCCCGCACATAACGCCTTTAAAGAGGTCCCCTATGTATGTACGTATCCCTAAACCACATAGAGATATAACCCCCATATATCCCTCACATAATCCCTTCAAGGGGGTCCCCTATGTAAGTTAAATCTCGAGGTCAGCCCTTCTCCTGGCGCCATAGCGAAGTTGGTCCTGGACAGGTGGCCGTGTTTTTTTGCTTTGTCATGGAGGGCTTCCCCAACCCTTTGAAGGATCCAAAAAGCGGTACCTCCCAACAGCCCCCTACTTACCCCAAGCCAAAACGATGGAACATGGGGGAGAGGGTTGCAGAGATCGTGAGGGGAACCCTAAACAAACAAGTTGTGAGAAGGTGTACAGCAGCTCCTAATCTCCGAGCAAGCGGCACAAGGATCCTGGACGACGCATTACCCCCGGCTTTCGTTCTTTCCTCCTGTGAACGACGCGCCGGCGGATAGAAGTCATGTTACTACTATTGTGTTCATTACTTCTGCTGTTATCATTGCTGTTTGTAACGTAGTTCTTAGAGTTGTGAGTTGTGTATTGCCCATGTCATGTTTGTTACTTGCAGAAACATGCTCAGATTGAAGCTTGCCTTTTTATTGTAAAGTGTGTCGTTTCGGGCCTTCTGGTTGTGAGCCATCTCTTCACTCTAGATCCAATCAGTCAATACCTCTAACCCCTACAACCCAGAACCCTATATGAGCTATAGTCTAAACTCCTTAAGGGGGGTTATATAGGGGATTATATATGGGACTACTATAGGGGTTTATTAAGGGGGATACTAGGAGTTTAGACAATGGCTCATATAGCCCCTCCCTAATTTGAGGTTGCCATGTTGTTGTCACAGCTGGGGCCCAACAGTGGAAGAAAGGGGGCCACTGTGCAGCTTGGGACTTCTTGCGCATCAATATGGGTGTTTCCCAAAATTAGGGTTACCTTTTCGGGGTCCCAATAATAAGGATCATAGTATTTTGGGGTCTATATTGGGGTCCCCCTATTTTAGGAAACTACCACATATTCCGTTAGGGTTTTGCTGTCGTATACAGTATACTGGACGATCTTCCTCTCAGTAGGACTCCTCACTGGCAACGTATGCGTATGATATCACTATTTCCACCTCATTCCCACAGAACCGCCCACAAGCCTTGCCGCACAAGGGCTTGCTGTCAGAATACACAGGTAGCTGGTTCAAGAGCTAGTCTTCCAAATGAGTAGAATTGGTATTTCCTGAACCACCAACCATAGACCCTCATCCCTAAACTTGCTTTAAGGAAGGTCTTGATCATGGCCCGGGCCACATGCCATGAGGTTTTGGTGCAGTGGATACCACAGGACAGTATCTTGGATTCCTGGCAGGCGATTTTTCGTTTATGTGGGTAGATCCCTTGAGGGGCTCTAATTGAGGTCATTTGTCATAGGAGTTGTGTAGGAGATATCCTTTTTAAGGAAGAGTCTTTGTATCCTTAATGCGGAGCCCCTATCATGCTCTATAGGCTTTGGGAGTGTGTCGCTATATGTTGATTTTCTAGATAATTAAGCAGAGAATTGTATCACAGCAGCATGCAAGACAAGCTACTAAAACACTGCAAGACATAGAGTTGCTTTAGTTCTTCGAACACGAACGAAGATAAGAACCGTACCAGGCCGTGTGTTATACCTCCGTGTAATATTGTGTAGCTTTCCGGTGAAACAAGGATCTCTCAAGCGTACAGGTATGTCACAGCCCGCTCAACTTCCCGATTCTTGTGCACTTGCTGCGATCCTATCACCAACCTGACAGGGGATCCCCATGCCATGGCGTGTAGCTTTCGTGTACTTTGGTATAGCAGACCCAAACCTCTTGCCGATATAGAGACATTCAGACCCATGATTTATAAACCCCCCCGCTGTCATTCAGGGCCTTGCCAGTATGATCCTTGTTATCATCCTGGTTCAAGGACGGAGTCTTTAGTTATTGGTTTACATTACCTATTCATACCTCACAGGAAGGCTCAAATTTACCGAGGTGAGGGTCTTCTGCTTGACCGCTGCGGACTGGCACAGAGGGTCTTCTTGGCGACTGCAAGCAGAGCGCTGCGGTCCAGTTTCGGACAGTGGGTTGTGGCACGATATGCCAACCGCTTACAAGAGCTGAATGATCATGGCTACTTGTACTGTACACTCTTCGCCCAATATGGAGGTTTTGAGAGCAACATCTCCAGTTCACAGTTTGGGGCTTCTGGATGTTTCAGGACATATCCTGCTGCTTTGCCAGCCTTCCGGTTTTTTGAGATCTCCGAAGTTGCAATTTCAGACAACTTCGGGTTCTTCTTTTACAAGCCTGCAGAAACTGCTCCAAGGTTCCTGGCCTCGATACTCGTTGAGTTGTTTAGGCGCTTGCAGGCGGCAGCGCTTCTCGGGGAGGGCGCCCAGACTGAGGATCCGTATTCTTCTCAGCTTTTGGAAGTGCTCAGCTCACTGGAAGGAGCCCTGAAGCGTTGGCAGACAGCTCTCTTGGAAAGTGCCGGAAGGCTGACCAAGGACAGGTGTTGGTTCAGATGGGGTATCAGATTTGTGAACCAGCGCTTTGCTAACGTCATTTGTGCCATTCCACAGGCCGATGGGAAGAAACGCGGTGTTGCTGATTGGTTTGTGCGGCAAACGAAGACGAACATTTTCGATGCGGTGACCTCATCAACCAAAATTTTCCTGGATTTGCAAAGCGATAGCACATGTCGAGAATGCCTATGCATGGAGTTCATGAACGTGTTAGCTGCTTTGAGTCACTGTGGATTTGCAACAGAGACTGTCAGCAGCATGTTCGAATCCTGCATGGGCCGGATTGTTGGTGACTGGAAAAGCGACAATCTTGGTCCTTATGAGGATTGTGGGGTTCAGCTACCCCAAGTACTCTCGGTGCTTGCCAAAGCAAGGCGTGATATGTTTCGTGGACCATCAGACGCTGCAAAATACCACTTGCTCAAAGAGATTCTAGACACGTGTCGGGAGAATCATAAATGCCGTGAAGGTGCAGCATTTTCAGCAAGGCACACATTTGAGAATATCTTGCTGCACGGGTTTTTAGATTTCTTCCCTGCGGAAGGCTTCAGCCCAAGCGAAATGTGGAGCATCAACAATTTTCAAAATGAACTTCTCGACCACATAACTCCTCTGTGTGGTGAGTCGGTCTTTGAGCATCCCTACGGTGAGTCACCATGGCCCGCAGACGAGGTCAGAGCACTCATGAGGGTGAAAACCTCTCATTATTTCAGTTTGAGGCTGCCGTGGAGGTTTCGTTCAAACGAGATGCCGCTCTCGGATCGCATAGCAAAGTCTCAGCCTGAGATCAGCGCCATCAGGAAGGGCTGGGTAAAAAAACGTCTTGATGGAACTACGAGGTACTTGCGTTTGCAGTCAACTCCTGTCGTATCGGAGCACAGTAACCCTGGGGACCCCAGCGGCGAAGCTTTGTTTCCTGACGAAGACATCGAGGACATCCGATTGGCATGCCAGGAATACCCAGTACTTCGAGACACATTGGAAGAGTTCTTGGACGAGTTGCTCGAATTGCGCGCGAGTGCTGAGGGAGGAGATGACTGATCAAGGCAGACCCCAGTAATATGGATGGTGCTTCCAAACTGATGACCCTTATACACGTGCCAGTCAAAACTGCACCTTGGTTTACGGTTTGGGTTACGGTTTGGGGTTAGGGTCTAGGGGGTTAAGTCTCGAAAAGAGTGATCCCCTCAGCCAGGCAGTCGCAGCATCGTGACCGTTGTTGGGTTTCCGCATGAACCTAGTGGTTCTTAGGAGGGAATATGGGAATAGATCATATAGGTGTTATATAGGGTTTAGATTCCTCTATTCCTTGCTAAGAACCAGTCAGCATACTTGCCGTGTGTTCTGGATGGTGAGCTTCTTTCATGCTCACTATTGCAGAAGAGGGTGCTACCCAGACCTTGCACCCTGGAAGCTGCGATCCTGCACGCTAAGCCTTACATGAGTATTATTCGACATGATCTCAATGCAATCCCGCATGGGACCGCTATCACTTATAATCTTGTTTATATCTCTTGGAGTCCCTAGGGCGCCCCCATTTAGGAAACTCCCTAAAAATGAGCCCTCGTCATCTTTCTGGGGACTTTCAATCAGGAGCTTATGTGTGATCGTTAGAGGGTGGAAGCAGTATCCAATCTCACCCCCAAAAAAACTTAAGCCTTAACTGAACCAGATGGGGCTTCCCCATCATGAGCCTCGCTAAGAATCAAGAAGTGCCCGGTCGGCTCGTATGCACAAGAACACGACATCAAATCCCACAAGCCTGAAATGCGAATTCCATATTGGCTTCGGCAGTGCAAACCAGACATATTCCCATGTAGTCCCTACATCATCACCCCGGTGCCATCCCTGATATCAGCCCTATATCATCCCCGTGTGGTTCTTAAGAAGTCCCCTGAAACCCCAAAACCCTTAACCTTAAACCCACAACCCGAAAGCTTAAATTCCAAACCCTAAACCTTAAACCCTCAACCTTAAACCCTAAGCTCTAGCTGCTACAGGCTGCCTGCGACTGCGGATGGCCAGAAGCCGACAGAGTCCCATCCTCGGCTTGTCCGGAGCTGGTTGCAAATCACCTCACCCTTCAAAGGACATGGAATCTGCCATAGTATTCAAGGCTTGGGGTTGTAGGTGATTGTTTGTATTCACTGCCCCAAACCAAAAAAACTAACGTGGAAGTCAAAACGGAGCCGTGCAAAAACAACTGTCCTTTGACAGGGGACCTATATCAGCTTCCATGCTTAAGTGGGGGATGGGCAGGGTCTCTGGGAGCTTTCGCATGTCCGATTTGGTTCCAACTTGTTCATACGTAGGGTGTGGAGCTTAGGATTTTGGGTATCCGGCTTAGGGTCAGGGTTGAGGGTCAGAGCATTCATGCGAAGATTCTGTGGTCACGGTTGAAGGTGTAGAGTTTTTGTAGGGCTTGGGCAATGGGGGGTGTGGATTGGTGCGCAAAGATTGTTGTCGTCCAACCCTGAAATTTGGATTTAGCACAGGGAGTTACCTTGTATAATCTTTTCTACCCAATACATATCCTCACCCCAAAGCCTCATCGAGCCTTTCTCATAGCGGCATAGCGTTTATATCGGTATTACTCAAAATGAGCATGTAATCCCTAAAAGGAACCCATACAATCCCTTTGTATGCCTATAATCATGAGGAACCCTTACACCCTTTCTCAAAAAATCCCACAGTGTTGCTAATACCATTACAGACTGATTGTTTTCCCCTTCCCTGAGGAAGCCATAGACTAGTGCGGGAGTGAGGGGGTTTGGGGTTTAGGGTGTAAACCCAAAACCTAGAATTCCTCATAGGAAAGCTGTGCTGTTCTAAAATCATCCTCCCATAGCCATAGCCTTGAAAGGAAATCTCAAGGTTGTCGGTAGAATTCTCAAGATGAACCTTCTTAACCATAAGCCCGAAGCTCTGATCCCTAAACCTCAACCCCTAACCCTATTGCGGGGGCCGCAATGGCACTCCTGTTGTGAGGAGCCCTGTAGATTCAATACTCAAACCCTGAAACCCCAAACCCTAAATCTCTAACCCCCGAAATTCTAAATCCTGATAGACGCCCCTTGACGGGTCCCCACTTCTGGAAATCCCCCCATGCGGTGGGAATGTGCGCACCCGCGATTATGAATGTCTCCTTCATCGGATCCGAGCTAGAAAAGCTCTGACGCTTTAGGGCGTAGGGTTTAGAGTCTAGGGTTTGGAGTCTCAGAACCCGGCGACAAGGGCAGTGAGAACTCATGGAGTTACAGAAGCAGCTGGAGCACCAGCGTCAAGGATCACAAGGAGGCGGTTGCTAAGCGGACTCAGGCTTTCTTCTCCACTCCGGATGTCTTTTCTGATGTCTGCTTGTAATCAAAAGCCCTGCAACAGGGCCACTTGCTTTTATGTTGCTTTTCATCTCAGCTAGATGAACTCTCAGCTGTGTATATATCTATATATATATATATAGCCGTATGTCCTTGTATGAGCCCCATAGCAGGACCGCATAAGTCTACAACCCTTAACTGTGCGATTCACGGCGGCAGCCGTTGATCCAAAGCTGGCTTAGTCACTCTAATGTGTGCACATATATATATATATATACACATGACTTTATGATGTTGTGGGCTCATTATTAGGCAGTCGAGGGTTCATTAATTATTAGGGGAAGGAATTGTGTTTTAAACATTCGTTGCATCAAAGCCTAATACCAAGTACCACGCAAGTACCCTAGTCTTATTGAAATAGCCCGAAGAGAAACCAGATCTTATGTCTTTTTGATCACTTCCCGTCTAATCATCAGCCCGCCCCCGCTCCCTCACATTGACTATCCCACTAGATATCCCACTAGGCCCTTGTAGTAGCCGACATTTTAGTGGCAACTGTACTTGTTCCTAGGGGCTTCACACATGAACAAAGATCAGATAGGACGTTCCTGTTTGATGCTTCAACGAACCCGCAAAACCAACAATGCCACTCACGAGAGTTAGGGTCAACAGCAGGCTTGTTAAAGGACCATTAACGGTGGACGTAGGGGTCCCTCTTGTATTATAGTATAGTCCCTAATATGGTCCGTACGAACAGGGGGCCTCCCCGTCTTCCTGCAGTCTGTGGAAAATGAGGGCTCTGCCTGCTTCAGCTTTGTAAAGCAGTTTAGGGCTGAGATTAAGTCCTGACTCCTGGACTTGTAAGATCTCAACCATGAACCCCTAAGCCTCAAACCCTACTTATAACCCTAAAACCTAAATCCTAAACTCTAAACCCCAAACCCCAAACCCTAAACCATTGCTAAGCAAAGCCTTTGTCCAGCAAGTGTGGGGTGAGAGTCATTGAGCCAGCAGGCCTTATACCTTCAACTCTGAGCCGCAAAAAAAGACCCAAGCTTTTTGCGTCAAGGCTGACTGTGGTGGCAACCTCAGGGCTCATCCAGTAGAGTTTGGGCTTAGGGCTTAAGACTTGGGTGGTTTTGCTTCGGGTTGAGGGCTTGGGGCAGATTTCCGCAGCTGAAGGAACACAAGCATAGGAATGGAGGGACAGATCGGTTCACATCGGATGCACAAGGTGACTGGAGAGATTTTCTTGGGATTCGTTGGGGACATGGTTTAGGGATTTCTGTTTAGGTGGTGGGACTTGGCATTCAGGTCTAGGTCTCGGGGCTTAGGTATTGGGTATTGATCTGTGTGAAGTTCGAGACCCCGGGCATGATGTTGCTACGACCGGGATGTAGGATATCACCCAGGGATCATGCATCCCCTTACCGCAAGTCCTTTGTGAAAACAGAGGATTTTGAGGAGCGCTGCATCCTGATTTTTTGTTGCACGTCTGGTCGCCACCGTTCGGTTGCAGCCATGATGCTTGCCAGGAAGAGATGCTATCGTAATACATTGCGGACCGCAATGTCCAAGCCGTTCATTCGTGTGAGCACGTTTGCCGTCCGCGAACTTGCGCCGGCCAATGCACCGAGTGTCAGCAGTTCGTCCGCGACATTCGAGGACCTATAGAACTCCCTAAGCCCGTGACTCCGAACCCTAGATACCCGCAAACCTTGCATGCTGCCCCCACCGAGGAGCAGTCTTTAATATTGTCAATATTAAGAGTTCTCTAGATATACAGAACTATAGCATAATTAGTATCCGGCTGTAGCTGGGTCGGGCAGTAGGCAGTACCCAACCTAAACTTTGAACCCTAGCTAAACCAGTAAGGTTCTGTCGCACAGGTGCTTATCACTCCCTGAGGGGGTTCCTGGGCTGTACCAATATGGCCCTAACGGAACCCCTCATTTGATGAAATGCAGCCCGCTGGTGCACCTAAACAGGATCCCAAAACCCAGGCGTATAACCCCAAGGGTACAAGCCCGAAATCCTTAATTTAAGCCTCCTCAGCTTGAGGCTTTCCAGCTCGGCATTTGTAGAGGGCTCTTGAAGGGACCCCAATCCCATGTCTCCATGGGTAGTTGTCAAAAGTATGTTCTGTTTATGGCATGGGGTACCCCAACTATCAGGGGCCGCAGAAGAATAGGTTCAATAAGGGACCGTATAACCCTGACCCAAAGCCTTGGACCCCAAGCACTGAAACCCGAAACCCCACACCCTTAACTCGTCAGCTGGAGCTGGAAACCCCACCCCTAAACCATCCTAAACCATTACCCTAGGGTCCACCCCAAGACTCTCATACCTGCAATACACATATTGTTACCAAAAGCCCAAGTACCCAATGCTTGGATACATGGACCTTCAGGGCTCACCGCAGTCTCCCAAAACCTAAACCCTAAACCCCTGAACAGTAAACCCTAGAATTCCCTCTACAGCCCTACATACCCTATAATCCCCTGAACCGAAAACCCTAAACAATCATCATGTCAACCTAACCCCTTGAGCATTCCCCGCATGTATCGAGGGATATATTATTTGGGATGGGGGAGAGTGTTTATTCACAGTATGGTGAGGATGGAAAGCCTGAACCCTGATCCCTAAACCCTAAACACTAAATCCTAAACCCTGAACAGCAACCCTGAACCCTGATGAACCCTGAAGAGAGCTTCTCAGGCTCTT